TGTGCCTTGTCAATTACTGCGCTACAACATTAATCCAACTAGAAACAACAAGCAAATGATTTGCTTTTATCTTGAAGACATATTCATCTACTCAGCCTTCACACTGCTGTTTTGGGTCAAGTTTGAACTTTTGAGCACTTCAATCCAGGTCCTGTAAGCCATTTTTGATAGAGAGAAACCTCCGTAACTCTTTCCAGAAAGGCGCTTCGCAGATGTGGAAGATAGATTTAAAATCAGCGTTTCAAACTACATCTAACGATATGTATTCCTTTTTGAATCGCCACATCGACTAAATATCCTTCCCTTGTTAGACCTTTGATACGACCATTTCTTGTTATTCTCATAGATCTTGCTTCACCCTATTTCCGTTCTCTGCCTACCTTTGTGAGCCTCAGTGCTAACTATCACAACAGGCGTTAATAAGCTGGTGTTACTCTTCCTTTGAACTAAACATAGACTTTAGCTCATTGGTTTTTATTTAAAATCTGTATCAATTTTTGTCTTTCTAAGTTGTTTGACCTGCAAAACTTCAAATTAGCGGAGCTGTTTTGAATACAAATGCTAAATTTTGTTGCAGTAGCTTGATATATAGGGTTGATGAATCTTCTCGGATGTTTAAATATCTAAAATAAGTTAGAAGTTAAAACTAAGTTGAAAATCGGGAAATACGCATAGGTTTGCTTTTCAGTCTGTATCGTGTGCACGCACCGTGTTTTAGGTTTGATTCCCGTCCTTACTACTGGAACAGCGAACTCCAAACGCCAACTGAGGAATTTCCTGTACAATGCGTGAACAAGATCGACCCTCAGGATCCGCAATTTGGTCGAGTAAGTTTCTTTCCAAAAATTTTCAAAATTAGCAAGTAAATGGTGTTCCTCAGGTGTACTACGAGAACGATACTCGACCAACGGAGATCGCTTATGCATGTCCCGAAGGGGACTACTGTTGTGGGTATGACTGCTGTCAGGAGGGTACCTTCTTCACCAGCCTTTTGTAAGTGTTTTTTATTCCAAATTGCTAGCATTTGTTTTACCAACTAGCATCTTAAAAAATCAATTCTATCGAAGTCAATGTTACAGCCGACTTCTCGTGCTGATCCTCGTTCTTTCCGTGATCGGCGTTTTCTGCATTGAAGCCATCAGATGGGGTCTTAACTGTATGTACATGTGTAAATATGGCCATCCACGGGAATGTGAACCGCTCAGCATATAAGAGGCAAATATCACTTACACCTCTCCCACTTTCGATTCTCCAAGCATTGCATTTAGGCTTTTATTCACCTTGTTTTGCCTTCGACCAAAGTCGCGGACCTCTGCCAAATGCCTTATGACTGTGATCAAAGAAGAATTGTGCTACTACACAACGGGTGCTAAATGAATCTGTGAAGCAAATAGCATAGCAACGAATAATTTGTTTATGTGATATTGTAATATAAACGTTTTCGCTAA